AATAATATACATTGTACATCATTCGTATATGTTCATACACCTGAACTAATATATAGATATAAGAAGATATGGTATAATTTCCCTTCACTCACGATTAAATGACATACATGTAGAAGTAAACATAAACTACAGGTCATAATTCATCCTTCAACAATGAGCAAATCCCATAAAGTCTAAGGGGAAATTGTAAAAAAATCAATTTCAAATGGTTACAACTTGAAAACTAATTTAATAATGACAAGGGGTCTTCAGTTACTATTGTAAGACTACAATGGGAAGACCTGCTTTTAGTTTAAACTACTGGGCCAAATTTATTAAAATTTAAACACAAGCCTCTAGTTGATATTTGATAGTACAATTCCAAGTTTAATATTAATACATGTGACATGAAATACATGTATATTATAGGCTAATTGTTTGCAAAACTCTTTGAATAGTATTGCGTTCACATGTTAAATACTGTTTTCTCCCTTTCAGCAGTATTACAAGGTATGGACAGAGGAGTTGAATATTGATTAAGACTGATACTGGAATTAATGAAGTAACCTACATGTAGTGTCCAAACTCTATGCCGAGTATGCCTATCAGACAGTCCATGTTTACATGTACCAAAAAAGGTACGTTGACAGCCAATGCTAAGTATTAATCTTAAACATATATTCAATGATTGTATGTGCATCGCTGATACATATATTTCGCTGTTGTGTGGCTGTATTTCTGATCAGAGACTGATAAAAATCAGATTATCCTTTATCTTAAGTTCAAATATTATGTACTAGTAACTACATGGATTCAATGTCTTGCATTCATTTAACTTATAATAATAATGATGCAGCATCCAACAAAAAGTATATCTTTTTGACCTTCATTGATTGTGAATATGTATGAATTCTGTCAGATTGTGGTACTTAAAAAAATTTTTGAGTCTTTTGCACATATACCTTGTCATTGGACTTTAAATGAATTTGATTTCTGATAATGGCAGAGTGTTTTGAACATTGCTTCATAGTGATGATCAGATTACCTTTAATCAATATATAAACAATGTACATGTACACTGCTACTTTTGCATAGGTACTATTTCTGTACTAAAAATCTGTAGTACTGGACATTTACTTTTAATATCTAGTACTATTGCTTTATTTTAAACTTATTGTAATATGTAGGTACCGGTATTTTACAGTACTTGTTTTGTACTAAAAATTTTGGTACAGAAATAATACTCACAATGATCACAATATTCCATGTTTGAAAATCATAACTTTAAGATTTGAACAGTCAAGGGACAAACTTAATTAAGTTATTAGAGAAAAATAACATACATGTGTTATTACAGATACTTTCATGAGTTGTCTGCTCTTTATTTCTTAATCTGTAGTAACATATGTTTGCTATTAGTTAATATATCAAAATATATTTTTATTTTTAGTGGGCTCTTGGGATTTTTTGAAACTTTGCGCAGAAACTTAATGCATAACCTTGATAATTAATTTTCCAATTCAATTAATACATTTTTGATCAACCATGGTAAATCAATGAGACAAGGCTTTTAAGGGATACACTAAGCTGTAATAACAAGGCTTAGTTATTACAGGAATGTAACTTATAAAATGAGACACTTGGGAATTACTGGGAAGCTTGTTCAGAACCTCATTACATGCTTTGATCATTATTTCTTACAATGAATTAAAATACATTGTGTTATATATATAACTTAATCGGATAAACATCTCCAGTTAAACAAATGACAATTTTGATGATTGCATTTATTGAATAATATTTTATGAACTTAACCAAATTAAATCAATTTCAGACAAAATTACAAGTGGACAGTTGAAATAAACTGAAAAATCTGGCTTCAAATGTCCAAGTTTATTTTTTGACACATATACTTCTACCATCCCCAATTTAATCCATCGACGTTTCGAAGTTATTTCTTTCACACTATTAATCATTAATCCCTGAAGGGTACCTACTATCCAAAATATAAACCCTCATTCAAGTCCCTATTAAACAGACAGTTATTTATATTTTTTTCAATTTCGGTAATACCGCGAAATTAAGTACACGCGAATATGTCGGCAATACCAAACACGCGAAAATAAGTACTCGCGAAAAAAGTACATAATTATACAGTATATCTTTCTAAAGTTTAGTAAACATAAAGACAATAATAATACCAATAGAACTTGTATACAATTTAACAAAGTAAAAGATATATATTGCCTCTTTGAAACATGTAACATACATATGTTATTACAGTTTTTTAACATTTTAGCCCACAATAACGACATGTATGTTATTTTTCTCTAATAACTTATTTAAGTTAGACCCTTGACTGTTGAAATAGACACGCTTTCAAAATGTTGAAAATGTAACGGTGTAATAACATGATTAAAAAACCTGTAGTACTACTACTTAAATTTCAAGTACAAATCAAGTACTGTAAAATACAGTTTCCTAAATATTACACTAATTTTAGAGTAACAAAATAGTACTGAATATTAAAAGTAGATTTCCAGTACTACATATTTTTGGAACAAAAATAGTACCTATGCAAAAGTAGCTGTGTATATAAATAGAATTTAATTGTTGCAGATTGATAATTTTTAGTAATTTGAAAATAAGGAGATGTGGTAGGATTGCCAATAAGAAAACTATCATGATCAGCCACGGTCAAAATGAAGGGGATGTAAGCAGTTTTAGGCCACTTTAAGACCTTCAACAATGAACAGAACAATACTGTTTACTCGGCTGTTAAAGATCCTGACAAAATGTGCAACAGTTCAATCTAGAAATTTAGTACTAGTCATTTTGCTAGCTATACATGCTATAGTGATGTTCACTTATTGGTTAAAAAAAAATCAATTGTTTTCTCTCTTGGTGAATATTTTTTACAACAATTGCCTGTGTGAATTTGACATATATCTAAATGAATTTTCAGTTGTATTGCCATTTTTTTTATTTGGAAAACAGTTCATCAGCATGATCAGATTCAGGTCTTATATTTATAATAATCACTGGAATTTAAATTTTCAGAATTAGCTCCCCAGATGTAAAAGGAAGTGAAGTTATACATGTTATATGTTTCGATGAAATGAATGACTTGATTAGATATACATGTAGAGGAGACCCTATAGCTACAGTACATGTAACTGGTATGTATTTGTTACAGTATTTGTTGTCAAAATTGTATAACAAAATGCCAAAACCTGTGCCCCCCCCCCCTTTTTTCTGGGAAAAATTTGTTTGATTATATAGGGAATCACTGAAGCTTGACCAGAGCGGGCCCCTTCTAAGGCAGTCAGTTGGCCCCCACTTATGAACATTTCTGGATCCGCCACTGTGTTTGTTGTATACTATACAAGCTATAATCAATAAACAGATCAGCTTTATTTGAGGTAGGCTATGCTTGAAAGGTTCACATGTCTGTCTGACTTGGTTTTTCTGACCTTGGCATTATTTGCTTGACATTATTTTTTTCATGGATCATTGGTTATGTTAAGTTTATATATCATACTTATAGTAAAATTATATCTATAGCATATTTAGAACAATCAACATAAAATATATCATGAATAGTAAAACAGGCAAGACATTTCAGTGTGTTTACTTGTCTCTTGTTATATCTATTTTATATAAATTTATACTGAGTGCCAATAAAAACACAATTTTGGTCCCCTTACACATGCTTCAGTACATGTAAGTATGCCCAGCAACAGTCGAGGGGGGGGGATAATATCAATTTACTCCTGTCGGTCAATATGAGGATACTTTGTTTGTCTGGCTATCTCCTCCTTCAGTTTTGGAGGTACAACTTTAATGATTTGTAATGTTAACATGGCAAAGTTCAACCATGATGAACCGCCACACCTCCATTGCAGAGGTAATTAAAAAAATGTAAAGTCTGCTAGATTATCCCACATGTGGAGCAGGATCTGCTTACCGTTCCGGAGCACCTGAGATCACCCCCAGTTTTTGGTGGGGTTCGTGTTGCCTTGTCTTAATTTTCTATGTTGTGTCATCTGTACTATTATTTGTCTGTTTGTCTTTTTATTTTTGGCCATGGCGTTGTCAGTTTGTTTCCGATCTATGAGTTTGACTGTCCCTCTGGTTTCTTTTGTCCCTCTTATATCAATTTTCAGAGCATTTGGAGTTTTGATTTATACCCCTATGGAAGCTAATCACAAATGTCTTCACTGGAAAAGTATCAGGTAACCAGATGTTTCCAGAATGCATAGGGCCATAAACATACTATGTTAGTATTGTAATTTAAATGGGGCTAAGACATGTAAGAAGGGGGCTTGAAAATGATGAGTTGTGTTTCTATAGGCACTAAGTATACTTATATATACAAGTAATGTGTAGTACACATACATGAATATGATTTGTTTTCATAAGTAATTTATTATAAAAATGTGACATGGTATGATAGCCAATGAGACAACTATCCACCAGAGTCCAAATGACTGAATATTGACAACTATAAACGACCATATGTACAGCTTTCAACAATGAACAAAACTGATACAGCATAGCGAGCTAGAAAATTTCCTGAAACAGGGTTGGCAAAAACCTAGGTTTTATGAGTATTGCCAAGCCCAGTGGGAAATACTGGGAATTACTGGGTTTTACTGGATAAATCACCATGAAATCACCAATTGATCATGTCGGAGCTTAAAATACAAAACAGTTATCACCTAATTATGAGTTTGGTAAATCATTGGTGATTAAATTAGTGTTATCTTTTTTTCCTTGACCACAGAAACAAACATGCTGATTTTATTATATTACAGGAACTGTAGGAAGTTTTCAAAGAGTCTGATTGCTAAGTATGCATTACAGGATTTTATCATTGGAGCAACATCTTAGGAGGATAAGTGCAAATGTATGAAGGAATCCTTGGGTACAAATAGCAATAATATGCAGAAGAGGACTCTTAAACATTATCAATAGACATGTAGTCATAGTAGTGGTGTTTTCAAGAAATGTAAACCAACTGGAATTAACTATTGTGTATATTTTTTCAACCACAAGTACTTTCAAAATATAATACAATTCAAATTCAAATTATTGTGTCAAAATACAAGTTACAGTAAAAAAAAATGAAAATACATGTTTTAAAATGAATTTTATATAAAAAAATGAAATAACAAGAATTTTTAGCTGATTGTGCAGCCAAACTTTGAGATTTGTTAATGATATATGCCTGTTGTTTGTCAACATTTTGCCTTAACCTTGAGATCAGTGTTAAAATGAGAAAAAAACTATTTTTGCATATATGAAATAAGAAGTAAATGGTTGTAAATTACAGAGAGCCTTTCAATATGGTACATGTGTATATCAGCTATATTTCACAGAACTTTCTATTTTGAGTTTATTAGTACAATGAAATATGAGGTATACATCAATCAGCCAGCAATAAAACAACAAAAACACATGAAAGGCATTAAGGTGCTAACATGCAGTCCTCAACAAAAGACAGGTGTCTAAAAGATATGCCATGATCTATTTAATTGACCAGAGGCTTTAAAAAAAAATACAATATGAATCAAAAATAGCCATCAACACCAAATTCTCTGAATATTTTCTTTTTATTAAGAGGAGATTTTAGACATTCACTGAAAAGGTTTCTGGCTTTAAACAGGTACATGAATATGTGGCGAGGTGAACTAGTTTGTTTTCTTCAAAACCTTCTTAAAAAGAATTGGCATCTTTTGCAAATAGGTCTTTTCCATAATGTGATTGGTTTGTGTCAAAACTGATGACCACACAATATGACTTATACAAACATAATAAAAATCAACTCAAATGAAATATGCATCAGTGCAATCAACTTCTATAAATGACCACAGTCCATAAATCATTAACACAAAAGGATTGAGACTCAAAACAACCTAAAAAGTTCTAGGAGTGAACTAAGGTGCCCTGGATATTATTTATATTCTGTGATGCATTTGCTTGCCTTCTTTGTTTAAGACCAAAACATTTTGGAAACAAAGAAAGTAAAATAGAATGGAAGTATGAACACATGGTCAAGACCAAGAAGAATATTTTTCATGTTTATATATATCAAAACAGAATTTGTATTAGATTATAATTGACTTACATAAATAAGCTCAAATCCTGTGAAATTAGTGTGATTGAGGCTGAATTCACTTTAATTTCATTTAAAAAAAAAAGCTCGATTCATGTTAATTTCACGTGAAAAGTTCATGTGAATTTCACGTGAAGGCTCAATTCACGTGAATTTCACATGAAAAATTTCACGTGAATTTCACGTGAATCAGTATTTTACGTGAAATTCACGTGAAATTCACGTTAATTCCACGTTAAATTCACGTGAACAAAATTTGCCTGTGTATCTTATTAAAAATAAAAAATACGTATTGAAATATAATCATAAAATTCTATAAAAAAAAGAAAATTAACATTCACAAAAATTATAAATTTACATTATATTACATTACTAAAATACAAAATGGAAATATAATACATCTACGTGGTTAAAAGTGGCAGAAACAACGGATTAATGAAATATATGTCTGATGATTGAATTCACATTCAGAAATACAGTGTAGGGTATAGACATATTGTGGTTAACCTGAACTATAACTTGAAGGACTAGAAAAATGTACAATTTCAATTTGTAACGAAACAATTGCTTAAATACTAATCCGACACGTTGTAATGCTTTTCAATACGAAAGGTTCTGCACTAAAATTAATTGTAGGATGCATAAAAAAGTAAAATCAATTCGAATGGTTTAGGTTATTTTTCTAACAACGGACACTAAAATGTCAATAATTCATTGTAGTTTTGTAACACTTTTTTATGCAGTGTAGCTAATTATTTCGAAATTGATATAATACTAAGTCACGAGAGAAAATTGAATCATTATCTGATATACGAAAATATCAAAGTATGAATGATTCATGTGATCCATTTTAGTAAACTATTTGCAAAGTTTGTCTTTTTATGTTGTCAGAATCGTACATATTTTAACATAAAACTAACATATACTAGTATATAAAACAAGAAAACATTATATTTGTTTTCCATTATTGTTTTATCAGAAGAAAGTGTTTTTCTATTATTTCTGTTTCTCTCAAATGTTTGTTACTGGCTGTATATTTACTCCCATGTGTATTTCATCAATCTGAAGAAATAAATAAAATGAATGTTTTGTGTTTTACCTTAGTATATACATCATTCATGAAACGTATTGCAAGTTAAAACGTTGTTCGTCATAGGTGTTTGTTTGCTTACATCTTAGCAGTTTTATTGTCCTCAACATTTACTTCCGTATATTCAGTTTTGAAATATCTAACTAGTTAGATATACTGAACAAATCCTTAAGGACTGATTGGTTTATTTGTTTCGAACAGCGGTATACTACTGATGCCTTTATTTTGATCTTGTATTTGGTGACGATTTGACTCAATAAATAGTGTGGACTGATGTTGCTTACGATCAGTTTTGTCGAACAGCAGTCATACAAGTCAAGGTTTCCGATGTGTTATCATTTCAACAAGGACGTCGTCTCCCCTTTGTAAAAGTGATATTATAGTTCCTCTAATAACAGTACATGCTAGTTCTGTATTTTGATAAATATATATAGTCACTGTATTTGTTGAAATTATCTGTATCTGATGAATATGTATCCAGTCTATAAGAGTACCAATCTTTTCAAATGCAACCGATTTATGTCAGAGACGACCATATTACTAATCAAATAAACAGTGTCCTTCATAAGAAGCAACTTGCAACCATAAATTACGTTATATATTTACAAAAACAAGTTTAAAAGATACAACCACATAAAAACGCCATTTTGTGCATATCCTTATCGATCAGTTAGTAATTAGATGTATTGTACTTTTTCATGTAAATTTTAAGTACGAAACAAACTAATTCAAAATAAACATGTTATACTACGTGTATAGGTATCAGGGACACAATTTTGTATAATCATTATATGTACTTCTTTTGATGACTAATGCATACAATGTACATCCGCGCCATCGAAGAAAAATATAAATCGTAAGCTGTATCTTCAATACTTACTTTCCACAGGTACAGCTACAATGAGAACATATTATATCATCGTCGGACTTTTGTCAAAATGTATTTACTTATCGGACCTAACAGTGTAAGTTCTATATTTTGAAATGGTTCACATATTGTCATTTTGGGATTTTTTTAGCTTACTTGATATACGGTATTTGTATCTCTCACTATTGGAAAAGCCCGTAATGTGACTTATTGCAACTACCATCAACATAATTTGCTCTATATTGCCCGTAATGTGACTTATTGCAACTACCATCAACATAATCTTCTCTATATTGGGTAGCTGTCTTATTGTCAATTCTACCACATGTTGTAATGTTTATCCTATTGGCTAATAGATTAATGACTGAACACATAATTTATCAAATTAAAATATTCAAGTTTATTTGATTTTTGCATAAGCAAAGTAACAGTGTTATTTATGCATCTTGATAACAATTTTCACCTTTTTCCACTTTGATAAGAAGACTTCCTTTTGTCATATGATTCCTATGACAACAAATGCTCAAAGTTTGTAGTTTTAGTTTTCGATTTGGTACTTGACAGTTACCGACTAAGTTAAATAATACATATATTTGAAATAGTAATGGTATGATATATATATATTAAATAACACAAAGGACAACATATGTTTCTGTTTTGTAATTCTAGAACTATGCTTTAAAAACAGACGTCATACATTTATTTAATAATCGGAAACAACTTCGAATGGCGACAATTAATCAAATAACCAGGAACTCTGGTTAACAGCATAGTATGTAAATATAGGGAATTGATACATTGATTGGACATATAGATATATAACATGAAAGGAATAATGAGAAAGAAGACACAAGATAAAAAAAATATTGTTACAATTTAGACATATTGTCACCTTTTTTCAGAAATACGGACATACTAAACATATACGATATTTGGATAACTTGGAATATCGTTACGCAATTAAATCATTCCGCTTATTGCAACCTGCATAATTAAGTACTTTATTCAAGTTTCAAAGAATATCGTCATGTTATAAATTGCGATATAATTGTAAACTATACTTATCTGTTTGAAACTATTCACTTACTTACTGCAAAAAAAAATAAATAAAATCAAGTAAATGAGCATACAATACAGCATACCATCTACAGATGGGTGTAGTCCTAACCTGTACACAAGTAAACTTAAAGAAGTCCTTACGACTGCTCTATAGGTTAACTTGGGAACATTTCAGCAGACCTGTAAGTTAATTTTATCCATAGCAGACCGGACCTCATGTCTGCTTTTTTAGGACTGCTGCAGACCAGTCCTGAGGACAACTTTGATAGAGCAGACTTGTTCCCAGGACAGGTCAGCTAGACCAGACCAGACCTGCGGACAGGTCAGCTTGGGATCAAGTTAACTTTATCTTAGAGGCGCAGACCAGACCAAAGTTAACTTTGGATCATGTTAACTTTATCATGTACCAAACCAAATATAACTTTTATAAGAACAGGTCTGGTTTGACTTTTGATAGCAGACCTGGTCATAAGTTAACTTGTGTGTAGGACTGCTTGTTGCAAAGTTAACATCGTCCAAAGTTAACTTCAATACTGGCCATGGATCAATCCTGAAGTTAACTTTTCGAGCAATCATTAAACAGTCCTAGAACCAAGTCTGCTGTTTAAGTTAACACAAATTCTGTCCTAAGACCGGTCACAGCAGTCATAAAACCTGTCCTAAGTTAACTTTAACCAGTCATAAAGTCTGCTTATTAAGTTAACTAGCTATACAGGTTAGGACCGCACCCATCTGTAGCAATGAGTTATAGAAGCCATCGTTGTATAAGTAGTAAAGTTATAGTAGAACTGACAGCTTTTTGTTGAATGTTATAGTCAGTAATCATGTCAAAAATAAAAACATTGTGTTTGTAATATTTCATAATAACAAACATATAATGTTTTCTGAAGCACTGGTTAAACTTCAGTCTTATGTGTTTTTAATATTTTAGAATAACAAACATATAATGTTTTCTGAAGCCCTGGTTGTACTTCAGTCTTCTATTGACTGTTTTGTCTTACTGTCATAACAAATAACAAATTCAACTACGTTTGACAAAAAAACGTGTTTGTTCTTTTATCAATTAAAAAATATAAAACTTCCATATGTGAGTGATAATTAGTTAACTGTGCATATCAAAGGTTATTAAACTTTTAAACGTTTACAGATACATGTACAACATTATAAACCTGATCTCTTTAATAAGTTTCTATACTGTTTTATCGAATAATCTGTTACAACTGGCAGTGTATTTGTCAGGTTATTAAGTCGTAATGATTTACCTACACAACGTTTAAATCAATTTGGAAGCATTTTGTCTAAATAAAGTTTTCAATCTTTTTGTTTCAATATATTATTCATTGGGTTAAACATATTTATAACATTTAGATTTGTAAAAATAACAAATATTACATTGAACATAATCACGAAAGTATTTATTACTTGAAATATTTGTTTTTTATAATACTAGAGAAGAAACAGGATGTTGTTAAAGATATTTATAAACAACAATGCGAATTGTGTTGTCTATTTGTTCACGTTGGAATTTAGAATACTTAGCATTTCGATTAAAATCATACTGATAAAAAAATCGCATTTTTCTAATATACGAATTGGTTTTGTTACTTCTATATAATTGCGTCTTTATTGATTAGAACTGTTATTTTATTGTCCAATTTCAATAAAAACACCATACACAACATTCACTATCTATTGTTCTTTCATTCTTCATTTTTTGTAAAAAAATCGCTATATACTTATCGTTTATGGTATATAACACTTACATTGTCCTGAAAAATAAAAAACAAAAATACAAGTTTAAAATCTGAGGAATAATTTAAGACAATCACGATACAGCAAATACTCATCTCAAAAACACCAGTTTATTAATTTTACTGAATATGTTCAGCGTATTGTTTTGAAGTGTTTGGTTTTCTTAAATAGAAACTGTGTTTTCTTGAATGTGGTAGCTATTCAAACGAAGTATAGATATATAAAATGACAAACCAAGTGGTGAACACGAATATTTATATCCCAAAAATAGTTTTAAAGTCATTATCTTCTCTTTTAGAGTTTATAAAAATCACAATAGCATCAATTTTGTCTATAGGTGTTTTGTATCTATGGTGTCCAGTAGTAAAATATATAGCAATCATATTAGAACAAAAAATTGAAATGTATATTATGAAAATACTAGCGTATTGATAATGTGGTGTTCTTTTGCTGATCGTCTATTGATGAGTAGCTACTGCATAATCAGGAGTATATACATGGTATGTAGAACAACATTCTATTTTTTGAAAAGTTATCAAATGATAGGTATAATAAAAAAGATTAAACAAGACTTAACATAAAGTCACAATTTGGACATCGGTTAACTACTGTCTCCTTAATATAAAGATGAGGATATAACAAGATGTGACACTCGGAAAAATGTTAATATTTTCACGTAATTAGCATATTCAGTGGCTGCATACATAACTAATCACATGGTTTAAGCTTTATAAACTAGTAATCGCCTGTTTTAATCAAGTCATATTATTTCATAATGTATTCTCATATTTCATACTTGACAACAATAATTTAAGAATACAATTTCTTATAATCTTTCCAAAAGGGTTGTTTTAAAGAAAAGCAGATAATAGTGTTTTACCAACCCATTTTTAAATACTTTTTTCGACTATTTCTCTCTTAAAATGGTATGTTTATTGTTTTACGTTACTACACTACGTTCATCATTATATAAATATTGTTATATTATAAATTGCATATATAATTGAACGCTATACATATCTGTTTGCAACATGACACTTACCAGCTGAATAAATATTCATAGAATACAGCATACCATTTAGCAATGAATTATTACAACGATAATGGAATTACTTGAATTTGTAGTAAAGTGATATTAGAACATTTCGAGATGACAGCTTGGTCTGTCAGATTATTCAATAGTAAAGTCATTAGTCATGCCAAATATTGAAATGTGATATTTGTATGATTTCAAAGTGTCGCTTTATAAATTTAAAAATTATAAAAAAACTTAGGTTTTAACACCCTCAAGTAATGTTGACATTAAGTTGATATAATAATTTTTGTGTATGTTCTCTATGGTCATATACTTGAACTATGTTGATTATTATACATCCTTTGATTTAAACATTTCTGCTTTGAGCATTTCCCGTTAAGGTAAATTTAGAACACAGTACATGAAAGCAATTGTTTTTTGTATACTGTTGTTTGTCGTTTTGTCTGTTGAGGTTCATGCCATGGCGGCGTCAGTTTATGTTCGACTAATTAGTTTGAATGTCTGTTTGGTGTTTCCGCCTCTTTTGTAGACGGAACACCCGTCTATCACACATCATTTTCATGGTATGTTTATTGGTTTACTTTACGATTCTACTAACACCATTGTATAAATATCGGTTTATTATGAATTGCATAGATAATTGTACGCTATACTTATCTGTTTGCTACTTGACACTTACAAGCTGAAAAATTCAAATACATATTCATAGAATACAGCATACCATTAAGCAATGAATTATAGAAACGACAATGAAATTAATTGAATAAGTAGTAAAGTGAACATGTTAAGATGACAGCTTGATCTTTCAGATTATTGAATTAGTATTGTCATTAATCATGACAAATATTGAAATGTGATATTTGTATGATTTCAAAGTTTCGCTTAATAGATTTAGAATTCATTAAAAAACTTAAGTTTCAACACATACAATTAAAGTTAACCTTAGGTTGATTTAACCAGTTTTGTCTTTATAAAAATAAGGAGATGTGGTATGATTGCCAATGAGACAGCTATCCACCAAAATGCAAATGAAGTGAATGTAAGCAATTATAGGCAACCGTAGAGCCTTCAACAACGAGAAAAACCCATACAGTATGGTCGGCTATAAAAGAGCCCGACATGACCAATATGAAAATTTCAATTGTGAAAAAACTAACTGCTAATTTATGACAAAACAATTTACGAAAAACAAATATAAAAGACATGAACCAACGACAACTACTGAACTACAGGTTCTCAATGGTCACATACTTCAACTGTTTCGGTTATCATAAATCCTTGGCTTTAAACTTTTTTGGTTTGAACGCTTTCCATGAAGGTAAATCATCAACAAACAGTACATAAAATCACATCCGGTTTT